TTGAATTGACTTAAACATGTTTAAAAACAATTTTTTTTCTACTTTTTAATTTGTCTTATTTACTTTGTATAAAATAAGATAGTAAATTCCGTATTTCTAACCCCTTTTCCAAGATACCCTCGGGTTGGCATGAAAGTTGCCAGGTGTATACTTGCTGAGCGTGTATATCCCCATAGACTCTTGAGGTTTCTCTTCACACTTAAAACAATGTGTTTTTGTGTGAAGTTTTGTTTACCTAAAACCTCATGCACGTATTACGAATACTTAGTATGTATACCTAAGTCAACCATTCTTGACCACTAAGGGATTTTTGTCTAAGTAAACAGACAACAAACATGTACCTTACCTCCGCGCCGCAACACAAGGACAGGGGACGCTCTGCGAAAGCAAAGTTGGTTAAATATTGTGAAAGAATGTTATTTATTTTTCGTCAAAATTCTATATACTTAGCACTGTATACGAGTGACCAAATTCGTACCCGCTATGTCTATAATGTGTGTTGTTGTGTCCAACGACTGTTCCAAGTGACCATATCGCCCCTGCAGACTAAGGCAAAGAAGTACAAATATTGTCTCAACAACGTGTTCAGTAAAGATTAAATTTGTAGGTACGGTTCTTAAGAAAATTTATACATTTAAAATCCTGGTGTACGATATTCACGTATGATATCCGTGTAGCTGTTTTATTGTAAATGTTTGATGAGGTTTTCCCCGAACGTGTGTTATTTTCGAAGACGGAATATAATTCCGATTGTATAATTTAAGAGACAAATTCATTGTGAAAACTTCGTGTCTCACAATAATAAAATGCTTAAATATGGTGTATTGAAATATTATTTAGATTACAAGTCGGTGTTGATCTTGTTAATTACATTGCAGTTGTGTTAAGAAAATTATATGAACAATGTTTGATACAACTTGATTTTAGTCAAATATTACTTATTTTCTAAAACAAAACAAAGCAAACAAAATAGAAAAACAAAACAAGTCCAAATATAAGATATAACACAAAAAATTCGAAACGTAAATGGATTCGACGACCAAACACTACAACGTTGAACATTAGGTTTTAGTTCTTCTCGTATCAATATCGACCGGAGAGATTAAGCCACGCCCTTTAGCCGTGTTTGCAGCCGTAGACCCCAAGTACTACTATTGATTGACGTCGCAGAGTCGTGTAAGTCACGCCCACTTCATGGGTGCCTTACAAGTCTTATAACATGAAACGGTACACGCTGGCTTCACCAATAAAAAGCTGACAATACGCGAAAGGGACCTACCCCAACTGTCGGTTATTGATGTTTCACACAACTAACACATTCACAGCCAGCCACAGCTCAACATTCTAAAGTGAAAACAGGAAAAAAGTCGGGATTGACAGACTACAGGGAGTTGTCATTCAGCCAAAAATTGTCTACATGTTTGTCCAACAGCGTCTATAGCAAGAACTAGTGCTTCTCTAACCAGGAAATATCAGAGTTTATCCGGGAAGACATCTTGAACAAATACACCAAAACGTTGGAAATAGTGTTGTCTGCGTATTTGATACCCGGTGTCGTTGGTAATGCTTATGTTATATACATCTACAACTATTCACTCGGACGTTACAGAGCAAGGTACCCAGTAAACATAGGACACATCCACACTACTGGGACAGTCGGAGTCAGCTTTACTTCCGTTTTTCGGAGTTTGTGATATTTTTTGTTGTTTCACCCGCCGAATTGTGGGTGTTCACCCCACCCTCACGCCCGTGGGTGTCCATCCCACCCGTATCCCCACGGGAACTGGCCCCACCCATCACACTGGCGGTAGGAGGTAAAAACGCCGCGGTGCAGTGCGCCGGGTGTGAACGTCCAATACTGGATCGGTTCCTGCTAAATGTCCTGGATAGGGCATGGCACGTGAAATGTGTCCAGTGTTCTGACTGTCGGTGTCCTCTCACGGACAAATGCTTCTCCAGGGATGGAAAACTCTACTGCAGAACTGACTTCTTCCGGTACGTATCTGTTAAATCCCGAAACTCTGAATCTAGTTTCGGTTTGTCCGATGTAACTTCGCCCTTTTCCGACTCCGATTTAGCCCATAAGAATTATCCATCTCGCCCCTGACCATAGGAACAATGACTTTACATGATGTATTTCTATAACCGACTGAAATTGTCTTCGATTCATACATGAAACATTAGTGACATTAATTTGAATTCTGGAAATTGATGACAAATAAGTAAACTGAATCAGCTAAACAATTATCCCCATATAAGTAATCCGTTTATCTATATATAGGTAGGGAACGTCACATATATCTACATTTGTATTTTATTTCCGCACTAGGTATTAAAATTACAAAAAGAAATAAGATAAATATTTAGCCTTCTATAGACAATACATACATTTTTATTTATTATTACATACTGTGTGTTGACATCTATTACCTGAACCATCAACAATAATAGTTAAATTTGAAATATGTATTGTATACTTACACAAAATATATTTTAACAATTAAGTTAGTATAGTAACATACAAAATATATTATGCATCCTTAAACAGAATATATAATAGATATTATAAAAACAGATATGACAGTGCTATTTAATGTATGAAAAGAAAACAAGAATGACTGTTGAGGTATCAGTTTATGGCAAACATGTTGTTTTTCTAGAGATTTCAAACATCACCCACACATGTGTGTCATGTATTAGGAGTAGATTATGAGTTCTGCCGATACTTGGGGGAACATTCATTATTCAGTTTCTCAACCAAACTCTGATTCGCTCCGTTACTTCAGCGTGCGTAAGTATCGGTAGAATCTACCTGTTCTGTACAAAATCCAGTGAATTATTTACACACCTCCTTCCTTTCAACCGCACCGTTTTAACAAATCAATTTTTCAACTCTTAGAACCTTTAATGTTTGCATCCAGTGTAAATACATATGACTGTCATCACTATATAAAAGGGACCCCCGTTGCAATGATTTTTAATTCTTGATAAAACACGGATATTCTAATTTAAATATCTCTCATCGTCGGGGATTTAATTAGGGTGGTTAATTAGAGGTGTGTAGGATTTACCTACGGACAAAATTCTCTGGTAACCAATAGCTATATTTGACTAACTCTGATAGATAATGTGAGGATATGCGAGAAACTCTATTCTCTAATTGTCAGGTGCTACAGATATCTCGTTAGTATTGATATAGAATTTCCGATTGATAATAACCGGCGGATGGGTTAAGTGTTTTCTGGGTCAATATTCCGCTTAATACTATCAGTGTTAACAAAAAAACATATTCAGTCTTGTTCAAAAAAAATTAAAGAACAAAAATTGAAAAGAATAAAAAAAATCTTTTTGTTCTGTTTTTTAAGTTCGATTTTCCACCTTTCTGGTGTTGGGTGTTATGGTGAAGTAAGATTTAACACTAAGTATGGTAGACGGGGGATCTTACAAATGTTTAATAGACAAGGTGTTACAGGCAAAGACACATTAAATCATTGTATTGATTCTAGCAATTCACACACCTGTAGTCCGCTTCTCATTAAGCTACCTGTACACAGATGACAAGACAAAGATCTAGAGACGGTTCAAACTATCTCGGTAGCTTGTCCATTCTTGAATTGATGAGATGAAATTATAATTTCCAAATGATTGAATTGCTTGAATTAAAACTCAAGTATTTTGGGAATTAAATCTATTCTAGATCAAGGAATAAACTCTATTCTAGATGAAATAAAATCTTCTACCTAAATGTGAATAGATGTAAAACAATATTTCATATTATTAATGCATCGGTACAACCAAATCACATTTTGTTGAAAAAATGACTTATGTTTAATCTAAAGAAAAGGAACAACGATTGTTATGTTTATTTATTTCTTGTTTGATAAATATGTTGGGATCAACATTAATTTTTTTTCTATATAGAAATAACAGTCTGAATGTAATTATTACTAATATCATTCTACAAGCAAATGTAGGGACTGATAATTAATCCATATATAGTTCCATTTCTTCATTCTTAACATGTTTAAGTGACTGTTCATTAAAAATTAAATCAAAAATTTATTTTAGTTGGATACTCAACAACGTTTACATGATTGAAAATGATAAATACACGGTTGAAATCGATCACAGATTTGCTCATCAATTTTTCATGTGCAGTTGATAGATAGTTTGTCATCAAGCCTGGCGATAATTTAGTAAACAACTTAAAGGATATGGTGACACATGAAAACATTGAGAATGTTTAAATATAGAGAATGTTTAAATTGAAGGAATTTTAAATACAGAGAATGTTTAAATATAGAGAATGTTTAAATTGTTTCTATCACATCTGCTTAAAACACATTAAATTTTCATGTGGTAGAAAAATAACTTTTAAAATATTAAATATAATGTTTTAAAATAATGATTAATGAAAATATAATTTCTGCTATTTTAAAAAGCCTATCTAGTACTATATTAAGGTGATGTTGTATTACTGGTCAGTGTAAGCTACAAGTAGACAGCCAAAATTTCTGTTTTAATTAAGAAAATTCGAACATTTTGTGTCGTTCCGTTTCTATATGTATCACTGTCGAACATTTGAAAAGTGAGCTTCTCTAAGAGAAAATAAATTGAAACTAAATAGTACATTTATTTTAACAAATAATTTCTTTATTTAATTGTGAATCATCCAAATGCGATTTTCAATGTCTGTCAAAAATTTAAAATCGGTACAATATTTTTATTTTTTTAATTGAGTTTTATCAAACAAAAACGATTTCTGTGTTATGAAGAAATTTGATTTTTGGTAGGAAAATCAGGAAATGGCTAACGAAATTGTGTTAAACACGATGATGGCTAAGGTGATTTATAACCGAAGTGTGCGCCTGTTAAAGAGATGATGAACTACGTTCCACTTTTCTTATATTTCAGACGTTTTGGAACCAAGTGTGCTGGTTGTTCCCAGGGAATATCACCCAACGATTTGGTGAGACGCGCCAGAAACAAAGTGTTCCATTTAAAATGTTTCACGTGCATGATATGCCGAAAACAACTGTCGACGGGAGAAGAGCTATATATTATGGACGAGAATAAATTTATTTGTAAAGAAGATTATATTAGCAGCAAATGTCAAGGTAATTATATTTCATATTTATTTTATTGTAGATTTATTTGAGTAAAATTATATTTTTAAAATTTTCGAATTCATATTTACCGAAACTCGGCGTATATACGGCACACATATTATCCGGAAAATGATTCCTATAGATAAATACATTGGTTTTGGATGGCGGATGTTTGAGTTTGACTTGTGATATGATACATTCGGTGTGTTGGTTTAACACTTTCCGCGTGTACGCACGTGAAAGTATACATTTCCTACAAGCGCTAGCATGTTCATTGAGTATTCAAAACTTCGACACGTCTTAAATCAAACAACGTTAGTTTTCGCTTTCATGTATATATAGCTATCACTGATGTGAATATATAACAGTTGGTTTTAAAAACTATTTTTAGATTTTTTTAACAGCTGTTCTTAAGACATGAATTTCACACTATGTTTAATAACACAGCTTTCAAAGGCGAATAAGTGAAATGAAAAATTCAGCATTTCAATTTTTGTTTTGGTATTTGTTTCATTCTATTGGTAAGCCATAGTCCTACTCATACATCCGCACGTGAGTCTGCACGTGCATGGTTTACCAGTTTATAGATGTTTGGGAAATGGTAACATCAGAGCCCTTGTTAAATATTGAATCTAACTTTATCCCAAACACCAAACTTTTCCCCTATCTTCCCGTTCTCATCCGCTCTGACAGAACTCCACAGATTAAAAATGGCTTAGGGCTATATATTTTTGGCATGAATTTAGTATCTGTAAATATTCTCTGGTTAATTCATAATAAGACCTTGATTCCAGCATATTATAGTATTCCAAGTTAAGAAATAGCTGTTTTCACGAATATTCTTGACAACAGAAAAAAAAAATTGTTTTATGCATGGGCCGGACGAGAACTTCGTAATCGTTTGTTGTTTACCAAGATTTAAAAAAAATACAATACCGCTATGTGATGTTGAATTATTAATTGTAGTACCGAATTAATTGATGCTTGTCACGTGATTTGCTCAAAATCAATAGGTGTCGGGAGGTTAGAAAACTGATTAATTGAAGATATGCGCAGGTGTTCTAACTAAATGGCAATGTTATATTCTCAGTTGGTTTATCTGACTATTTAAGGTATTAAAACTAGTTTTCATTTATCTATAATTCGGGATTAAGAATAGGGATTCGAAATACAGGTAAAATATAAATGCATACAGTTCCTCATCTTGATTTGTAATAACAGAATATTACGTAGTCAACCGCAAGAATATACCATCACCGTCAACGAAGGTAGGAACCACACTAACCTGTTAGTTTACTGATATCAATATTATATTCATATTTTGTAAATATTCTTTTTATGAAATATTCTCCAACAACTTTATGTAAAAAGTACTTCTGAAAATAGTATTTTTTTAAATTTTTAAACGGAAATAAGCATGCTTGCATTTCATTAACATATGAAATGTTTCAAAGTTTAAATAATTTATAATCATGGTAATGTATTTTTCATGGGATGTAGGCCAAATGTTTTATAAATCTTGTATACATGCGAGACAGAATCAGTGAAGATATATTCACAAATTTATGTGTGTGTTCGTCGTGTGTGTGTGAGAGAGATGTTCCATGTCTGCTGTGTGTAATACCGCTTACGTCCTGGCTATCTTCGCTTCTTAGCCACGGTCCAATTTATCATCATTATCGCCACATAATCGCTATTTCCTCACATTTATTCCCGTTTTAACGGGAATTGCCCCTATTCTTTCGCCGTCATGCGATCTATTAATTGAGAATGTTTTCGGGCTTTGCAACAATTGTAATAAGAACTATAAAACGGCCTCCTCGCATACTTCTTCTATTTTATTTCACCAATTACCCCAAACAAAATGACAGATAGCATTATATACACGCGTTAACTACGAGGGATCCATGAGATGAAGTTAGCATCATTAGAGCAGTCTAACATTGTGAATTAATATTTTTATCAAATAAAGCCATATTAGACACGTTAAATCTTCATTAGACAATTATTCTGAAGTGTTTATTGCCAGCATCTTTTGTTTTATATAATTTTACTAATCCCTCCGTATTAGTGTATCTTTTAATCCCGACTGTTGGGCGATCTAAAGCATGTTATATTGATAATACAGTGCCAGTTTTACGCTACCAAATGGTATTTACACAAGTTTTCTATTACGTACACATATACCGTCTCCGTCTCGGGGATTAGATTGTGTTTTTTCGTATTCTAATTTGAAAGCCGTATTTATAAAATGTGAATGTATGAAAAATGCACTTTGTGACTCTTTGGTTAGTTGTTTGAGGTTTTGGACCCTATACTTGATACTATAAGGCCCGACAATGAAGTGTTAGCGAAAGGTTCCTATATGTTTGGTCGAGAGTCTATATTCAGGATTTTGTATGGAACGTTTTGAATTTTAGTGTGTACAATGTAAACTAGAAATGTACCGGGTGTCCCCGAACTACTGGGGAGAGAAGGGACGGAGCCTTATAGAGAAGTATAATACTAAGGAAGACCTTGGGTGGAGTATTGTGCAAATATAACAAAAACTCAAGTGCCGTTTATTTGTATTTCTGACAGAGCTTTTGTGATTCCCACTTCAGAAATGGGTACATTACTACTTCTACCGTAGGAAACATAGTTAACCAAACACACTGGAAAAGGAATTTGCTCGAATTCAAAGCAGATTTTTGTTTTAAAATTGTTTTTATGTGTTTTTTAAAATTAAATTAAGATTATATATAAATAAATATATATTCATTTGTTTTAGGCGATATTTTGTATATATTTTAAGAGAGGGGAAAATCCATCTACATTTATTTTAGGAGGTCATGAAAACGAGAGAGACAAAATAATTGGATAATTTCCTCTCCATTTTCTGTGAACAGAAAAAAAATGGAACATTACTAAACGTTCAATGAAATAATTATACTTTTTTGAAATTATATGACTTGTGAGTTAAACAATGTTTAACACGAACGGATGTACCAGTTACAGTTGAACATATTTCACAATTGGACATTGCTGAGACAAGGCATTTCTGACGCTACCGGAGTAAATTCACCTCATATCAATATTGTTTATTTTTCTTTGCCATTTCTCCTCCTCGTTAGGATGCGGGAGTGAAATTTGGTAAAAAGAATAATTTCCATAGTACATGATACTCTGAATATTTCAGAAATGTTAGAAATCCAAAACAACTCGTAGTCTACATTTATTTATTTTTGTTTTTGACTGGAGCAGTGAGTAGAAACACATTCAGACATATATTGGGATCGAATAGCAACATTTCAGAATTTGACATGCTAATAATAAAGTATTACCGGACTCATATTTCCGGATATATTACTGATTTTTTTTACCCTTGGTTCTAAAATTCACTTCTAATTCTCGATTTCGGTCTTCAAGCTTATGTAAATATTTACATATCATAATAAGAGAAACGTTTGCCAGTTTTAGAAATAATTGTAAAACATATCAAACTCTTGGAGGTCACGTGATATTTGTAGATAAGTATACATAGTTTGCTGGAGACTGACCGTAACTTACTGGAGACCGCGCCGTGTCTGAGCCCTATGCTTGTTCTTTAGTTGTTTCCCTACTGATTTCGTAGCGGGGGTGCTCGATGTGTTCAGTTAAAAAAAGACTTCTAACCCACTGTACATGTTGTCCGTACTTGGGATGCGGTAGGGAGTTTCCTTCTCTGAGGGCCCGAAGGCACCATGTTTTTGTTAAGTGTGTCTCGGCCCCCACATAGTAGTCATCTGATTAAATCAGTGGTTGTAGTCATTTGAATTATCAGTCTCAAAAATTTCTTTTTAGTTCCATTAAGAAAATAAAGCATTCTCCATTCCTTTTAAACCGCATGTTAAAGTACCCGGTCAATCTACCTACCGTGCAGTACCTAAAATTCTTCATATCATCTAAAACCTACCTACCACACACAGTTAATATCTTACACATTATATCTATATACCACATCTACATACCACTTCTATATACCATATCTATATACCATATCTATATACCACATCTATATACACAATCTACATACCACATTTACATACCACATCTATATACCACGTCTACATACCGCATCTACATACCACATCTACATACCACAACTACATACCGCATCTACATACCACGTCTATATACTTTATCTATATACCACGTCTACATACCACAACTACATACCGCATCTACATACCACGTCTATATACCACGTCTACATACCGCATCTACATACCACATCTACATACCACAACTACATACCGCATCTACATACCACGTCTACATACCACACATATATACCACATTTATATACCACGTCTACATACCATATCTATATACCACATCTACATACCACGTCTACATACCATATCTATATACCACATCTACATACCACATCTACATACCACATCTACATACCACGTCTACATACCATATCTATATACCACATCTACATACCACATCTACATACCATATCTAACACCGCATTTACATACCGCATCTACATACCACATCTACATACCACATCTACATACCACAACTACATACCGCATCTACATACCGCATCTACATACCACATCTACATACCGCATCTACATACCGCATCTACATACCACATCTACATACCACTTCTATATACCACACCTACATACCACATATATATATATACCACATATACACAACACACCACATACCACATTTATATATCTTCTCCTTTCTTTCTCAATCTTCCTTTCATCCATCACTTTTTGAATTCACTCATTCTACCTCTCGACCCTACATAAGTCAACAGATGCGATACATCACGAGCCCACCTACGCGTTCGTAAACCCCACACGTGACCTCATGCACGTGTCATATACAGCAATATGTGCATTGCGCGTTATGTAGTCCAGGTGATCGATGTAAAAACATCAGTCCGGAGTAAGTGTTGGTCATTATTTAGAGTTTCTAGACCTACATTGTATATAGCGTGAATTGTATGGGAGTTATATATA